AAGGAAGGAAGGAAGGAAGGAAGGAAGGAAGGAAGGAAGGAAGGAAGATAGCAATAGCACTTAGACTTACATACCACTTCACAGTGCTTTACAGTCCCTCCCTAAGCAGTTTACAAAATCAGTCTCTTGCCCCCAACAATTTTGCGTTCTCATTTTACCCACCTGGGAAGGACAGAAGGCTGCATCAACTTTGAGCCTGGTGACATTTGAACTGCCAAATTGCAGGCAACCGGTAGTCAGCAGGAGCAGCCTGCAGTACTGCACTCTAACCACTGCGCCACTGTGGCTCAAACGACAACTCGTGGTCCTTGTTGTTTATTTGATCATGACTCCTTTGCTTCCACTTGCTGATCCCTTGCCTTTTCTTCAGCCAAACCAGTAAACCGGATGGAAGGTACCACCAGGCCACTGATTGCCCGGGCCGGCATGACAGAAAAAATCCTGGTGGCCACCTGCATATCCTCCAATGGGAAGCCTCCCAGCACTGTGACCTGGGACACTAAGCTGAAAGGCGAGGCGGAATTCCAGGAGATCCGCAATGAGAATGGCACCATCACTGTGATCAGCCGCTACCGTCTTCTACCAAGCCGGGAGGCCCATCAGCAGCAGCTGAAGTGTGTGGTCAACTACCAGTTGGAGCGTTTTACGGAGAGCATGACCCTCAACGTGCTGTGTAAGTTGGAGAAGCGGGAGTGATGCTTAGAGTTAGGACTTCAAAGAGACAGGACTTAAAAATGGGAGTGTCAGGGTTCCAAGAAATAGACCCCTACTGAGCAAAAGGCTGATAAATTCCTCAAAGAACAGCACAAGTCTAGTGAAAACCAACTCTGAAGATTCCCACAGTTTTCGCCTAATTAAAAATGAAATTTTTCCCCCCAATCCCAAACTATCAGCCACATGGTCCAATCGAGGCACTGTCCGGTGGTCTGGTGACATTACTCCTCAGGCCACCTGTGAGAACATCCTTGGTTCCCAGGGGAAAGTATTTTTTATTTTGACTACAAAACTCCAGCTATCCCTAATCCCCTCCTCCCTATCCATCCCTCAGCTCCAGAGTGGCAACACTGAAGCTCCAAAATGGCTTCAGCCAGGCCAGCTTCAGGGTTGACAGGCAGATCTTACCATGGCTTATCACAACCACCTCAGTGAAGATTCGATTATTTGTCTTGTTGGGGAGTTGCACTAGGCATGGGTTTCCCTGAGTGAGGAGGGGCAAGTAGCAAAACATGAGTGATGAGGTCTGGGCACATGGACATCTGCAACCATCATCGTTGGCATGACGGTTGCCATGCCTGTGTCATTTTGACATCATTGTGGTTTGCTGCAGGAGCCATTGTTAGGAAATTAAAGTGGTCTCCAGGACATCCATTAATGTCTGCCTCTTCTCTCGCCCTACCTCCTTTTGCTGTTTTTCCTACTCTCCTGTCTCCTCCTGACTTCTCTGGTTTCCCTCCATCCTTCCTCTTTTTCTCCTTGCCTTTCCAATTCCGCTTTTGCCCTTATCTGCCCAATTTTTCCTTTCTTCTCCTTGGCTCATCCTTTCACCCTTGTTTCTCTCCATCCTTCTGTTCTCCAACCCTGTTCTTCCCATCCTTCTCTTCCTCAATGTTGACCTCATTCCTAATCTTCTCAACCCCATGTCTATCTTTCTTGGCTCTCTTGACTCTTTCTTCTCTCCATCTCTGTATCTCTCTTCTCTTATCCTCCTCCTTTCTTCCTTCATCTCTCTCCTCCACCATGTTCCTCCATTCTGTCTTCCCTGCTCCACAGATGAACCCGAGGTTAGAATCGATGGTTTTGACAGCAACTGGTACCTCAACCGGAAGGATGTGAAGTTGACTTGTACATCTGATGCCAATCCTCCTGCTACGGAGTACCAATGGAAGCTGTAAGTATTGACCCACGGCACATGGATGAACTGTTATGAGTTCTTTGCAGCACTGAATGAGTAAGGAGCCCAATGGGAACACTTTTGTGCCCGGGGCCGTAAAGTTCCTTCAAGAATTACTTGGTCAGATTGTGCAGGTGAAGGAAGAATGATTGATACCTCTTTTCCTCCATTATTTTACGTAAGCTGTAGCCCCTTAAGCAAGGCCCCAGCTTAGCTGTCCCATTTGAGCTCCTGTTCTCTGTGCAAGTCGTTTATATAACCCTTTTATTTATTCTAATTCTAATCATTTCTGCAATATTTGTTACATGGTGGGTTTTGCATTAGGAAAATGATCACAACGAGCAGTGCTGATGATAGAAACCAGTGCTATCTCTTGAGTTCCCTTCTATCTGGTAGAGGCAGCCACTGTAGAGAAGAAGAAGAGATGTTTTAGGACTTAAACGATGAACTACAATCTGTTCCATGTCCCTCCTCCAAATGCTAACAAATACAAGTTGTTGTTAGTTGCAAAGTCGTGTCTGACACCTTACAACCCCATGGACAACGTTCCTCCAGGCCTTCCTGTCCTCTACCATCTTCTGGAGTCCATTTAAGCTCACGCCAACTGCTTCAGTGACTCCATCCATCCCCCTCCTTCTCTGACATCCCCTCCTTCTTCTTTGGCCCTCAATCTTCCCCAGCATTAGGCTCTTCTCCAGGGAGTCCTTCTTCCTTCTCATGAGGTGGCCAAAGTCTTGGAGTTTCAGGATCTGGCCTTCTAAAGAGCAGTCAGGGTGGATCTCCTCTGGGACTGACCGGTTGGATGGCCTTGCAGTCCAAGGGACTCGCAGGAATCTTCTTCTCCAGCGCCAGAGTTCAAAGGCCTCCATTCTTTGGCGCTCAGCCTTCCTTATGGTCCAACTTTCTCAGCCACACATTGCAACTGGGAAAACCACAGCCTTGACTCTACACACTTTTGTTGGCAGGGTGATGTCTCTGCTTTTTAGTAGTCCTTAACTAATGACTGTATTCGAGTCTCCAATTACGGTCATTAAGTCATGCTGGTTGTTAAGCCGGTTATCACAACCGTACCTGTTTTTAACGATCTTTGTTCAGTGATCATTAAGGGAAGACTATCGTTAAGTGAAGCCATTTTTGATTATGACTGGGTTGGGGTTCTTTTTTTTGCTAGAAACAAGAAGTAAATGTCTGTTTCTGACAAAAATATCATAAAGCACCATATGTGATGGATAGATGCTGCAAATGGCTGCCGATAGAAGTCGTTTGCCAAAAGAATAAAAAGCAGTAATATGAATTTGGGGGTGGGGTGAAGGGGGGAAACCTTCAGAACTCCAGAACTGAGTTGTAAGTACCTTTGTGGGGAGGCCCTGTCGTAACTTTGAAAAAATCATTAAGCAACAGGTTGTAAGTGGAGGACGCCTGCTTCCATAACAAACCCCGGATCTCTCCTCCAAGGGAAATTGATCAGGGTTCACGTCAAACTATCTGCAAACCGTGATCAATTTCAAACCTATTGGGATGCAACGTGTGGCTTTGCAGGTGTTTCACCAAAACAAAAAACAAAAAAAGGAAACTCCACCATCCTCCCACACACAGCAATCAAGAGCCTCTATTATTAGCAGGCGAGAAGATCCAACCTGTTGCATCTCCCAGGTGTCAATTCATTCTCACCTTTCGTGGTTCTCAGGACTTCTTTAGAGCTCAGAAGTAGGTCTCTGGCGCTGGATTCCGGTTGGTTTCCTTGGAAAAGATTCCAAATAGAACGCACACCTGGCCTGGTTGTCCTCAGATATTTCTCTACCTTTTCTTTCTTTCTTTCTTTCTTTCTTTCTTTCTCTTTCTTTCTTTCTTTCTTTCTTTCTTTCTTTCTTTCTTTCTTTCT